ACAGGCCCCTCCTTCAGCGGCCCACCCAGGCGGGCGGGAAGCTTGGTTTCCTCCATTGCCAGGGGCAACCCAATCCTCCCGCCCATTCGGGCTGGCTCTGTGGCCGCCGCCATCTTTGTCCCACTAATTTGCATACTCACTCTGATTGGCTGGTGGGTGTCACAAAGTGAAGGTCAATTTACATGTTTCTCTTTTATTAGTGTGTATATGTGTGTGTGTATGTATGTGTGTGTTTGTGTGTATCTTCGTTATCAAGAAATTGTTTAGTTGAGAAGAACAGATTAAATGGCAAACAAAATAACACAATAAAATATTAAAATAACAAACAAAAACAATACCAGAGAAATGAGACAGAGAGCATTTGGAATTTGAAGAACAGAGAGAGGACTTGATTCTGGGAAGCCTGGAACAGGAGAACTTGGAGTGATGTCTTTAAGGTTACTAGGGTTTTAATGGGTGGAGAGCAGGAGCACAGTCATTCTGGGTAGCAAGGCATCAATAAAAGATCAGAGGGCAAAATGCAAGGCATCTGAACGCAATCTTCATAAAAAGGACCATAACTCTTTGAAGAAGAGCACATTGGAACTGGAGGTGGGAGAAGAGAAGTGCACGGTGAGATGAGGAAGCCACTCAGGTGAACCCAGCCCTTCAGGTAACCATGGAGGCAGAAGCATTTGGCTCTCCCAGGACTGGCAACAGCAGCAACAGCTCTTGATTTAAATCAATCAATGTTTGATCAGGGCAGAGACGACTGGGTGGCTCTGACCTGGGCCTCACTGTGGCAGCAACTCTCTTAGCAGGCCAGTTCTGCAGTGTGATTCCTGGAATCCAGCCTTGAGGTCATTCTTTCTGTACCTCCAATAATTGTGAGCTAATATCACTTAATAAATACCTTTCTGTTTAAATCAGCAAAAGCAAATTCTGTTGTTTACAACTAAAAATTCAAACATATACACATTTTCTTATTTAGCATTCACAACCATTGCCTGAGTAGATAATATTATCCTCAACTTATAGGTAAGAAAACTGTGAGACTAAATTAATTAAATAATTAATTGTGAGGTTAAATAAATTGTCCAAGGTTTTCCAGTAAGTATATGGCAGAGCCCAGATTTGAATGTAGGACTATCTCATTCCCAAATCCATGTCACATCCACAACATCATAACTGTCTCCCAAAGATGGAGACATGGATGAATCAATATTTTCCCATATGAGCGTAGGTATCTATAGACAGAATAGTTTCCACCCTGGGTCATAAAAGATTACACTCAAACTCAGACTACATTGTACTAGATATGAATCTAGTACAATGGGACGGCAACACCAAAGGCTGGAAAGTTGCCTGCAATCCATGCCAAAGACAGGAAAGGATGAGTTGCTGGAGCCAGTGGGCCATCCTAGCTCTGCCTCACTCTACTTTCTGTGATTGTGCACACATTGTCAACACAACTCAACAATCATCTTTATCGCCTCGTAAATAAATTCAAGGCCACAATGTAAAGCTAGTTTTTCATTACTCAGTCCATGTTGTTCCTTATATTGAATTTAATCAGCTCATAATGGCTAAGTTCTTCCCCAGGAATAATAAAGGCAATTTGGCCACCTGTCTTAGCCCTTTCAACTTCAAGGTCAATTTTATTAGGCAGACTACAGTGGCCAAGATGATGCATTTCCAAGACCAACTATCCATGGTTAAAGGTAGACTCTATGGCAGGATAAGAACATAAATGAGGTAGTATGACCACTCCCTCCTCCTGGGCCCAAGGAAACATGATCACCATGAGACTGGTTTAAAGGCTTCCCCTTGGTAAACTAGCAAGGGGACTCAAGGTCAATGTGTTTCAGTGCAGCCATATTGGACCAACCACAACTAGTTTTCTGAAAATCTGCCAGAGAATGACTCAGGCTCCAGGGAAAAGAGAACTTACCCTCTGACTTCCACACTTCAAACCCGACTTCATACCCGTTTAAAACACTTTATGGCACCCTTCCATTCATATAGTGTTCTTCTGGATGTTCCTTTCTGTCCTCAATTCCATCTTTAGCACAGCTGACAAATGCTGCGTGGACACACAGCTGTCTCCCAAGAGGAGCCCCATCCTTTTTAAACAGCTTTGCTTGGTGACCTGACCTCCAAGCAGGCTGCATAGTTCAGCGCACTGACAGCTAAGTCATGTCTTTTGTCCCAGGCACACACATACAGCAGGCTAGGAAAGTTCACATGCAACGCTCACATTTCAAAACGTAAATAAATGGCTCACACCGGAGGCCCAGTGCACTTAAGATTGGAAGACAAAACCTCCCAAAGAAAAGAGTGACCCGAAGGGGACTGTGCAGGGATCCCCGCAGGACTTTGTGGCTGGGATGGCTGCACCTGGCAGGCTGAACGAGGCAGATCTACTACCAGCGGGAGACCAGATGTCCGGCCCTGGGTAGGATATGTCAACAGTCTTACTTGCTGTTCCTTCCTGACCTGTTCCCTAAATATCTTTCTAATATATTGTTTTCTACTGAGCCCTATTTCTTTTTCTTTCCTTTGTCCCTCTTCCCTCTCTCTATTACACTTTGTACTTCTTATTCCTCCCGTCTTTTCTCATATTTCCTGATCTGTAGCTCCTATTTTTCATATACTTGGAACCCTTTCCTTCCAGTTGCCAAAGAACTTTCACAGCTGGTCCCATCTGTCTCTCCTAAATGACCCTCCTCCTCCGTAATCACACTCACTTCCTGTCTGATTCCACCTGCCTATAATAGGAAGGACCCTACAATCTCCACACCCTAGTCCTATTTGTTAATCCTATTAACAAATGTGGGTTTGGGATTGGGGCAGCCGGGGAACTAGAATTCTATCCCCCTTTCAACTCCAGCCACAGATAACAGACTCACTAAGGTGTTCCCACCCTTTATCCTTTTCCTAGAGTTATCTGGGGTTTTTTAAATTTACTTTTTTATATTTAACTCATTTCAAAACTTTCACAACTTTGCAGCATAGGTCATGCATGTCCATTGTAGAAAAATAAGTCACAACAGATAAAAAGAGACAACAATTTTAAAGCTATCTGCCAATTCCATTTTTCAGAGAATACCCCCGTGTCTCGTGATTAACTTCATGAACATGTTTTAAGGATATAAAAGCAAATGTGAAGAAGACATCCAGTGAGGAAGAAAATTAAATGATCAAATACAACATAGCATATTTAGAAAACAGCAGAATCACTGGGAGTAAGGGCAAATAATTCACACTTTGGGAACGCCTCCTGGGGAAAATGACTTCTACGGTATTGAGCTTGTTTGCTTTGCTTTGTGTTTTTTAAACATTTTTTATTAATTTCAGAGAGAAAGGGAGAGGGAGAGAGAGAGGGAGAGAGAGAGAGAGAGAGAGAGAGAGAGAGAGAGAGAGAGAGAGAAACATCAAGGATGAGAGGGAATCATTGATTAGTTGCCTTCTGCATGCCCCCCACAGGAATTGAGCTTGCAACTTGGGCATGTGCCCAACATGTGCCCTGATTGGGAATCAAACCATGACCTCCTGGTCCATAGATGGATGCTCAACCACAGAGCCACACCAGCCGGGCAAAGAGAGGCTTTTTAAGGGACACTCCACAAGCACTCTCAGTGCCCAAGATCAGAAATGATAACGTGAAATTATCCAGGTTGCCAATGTCTCAAAATCACAAATGATTATTCAACATTTATGCTCTCATTTCTCTGTGCAGCTCCCCTCCCATCACATTTCTAAATATTATTATTGTTGGAAGTTGGTCTGACTCCTAAAAGAGCTTATGATTTCCCTACTCTGGAGAGTGCCTTTTCTATTCCTCACTGACACCAGGGCAATTTCTGTTGCTCATTAAAGCCATACAGTCAATATAATTGTTTGGACTTGAGCCTTAAGATTAGGCAGATACTTAAACTTTTTTATGGAAACTCACAGAAAAAAGAAGATATATGTCATATTAAGATCTAGAACAAACATAAATATCTATGTAATTGATGAAAGTCTGAAGAAACAATAATTACTACTACAGCATCTGAGGCAAGCTCCCATCTTCTTTTCCATTCCATTCAACACTGTTCCAGTTCAGTTTATTCTATTATATTCGATTCAAAATTGGAGAACCAAGATGGCGACGTAAGGTACAGACCTGTGCGTGCTGCCTCCCACAACAACATCGAGACTACCAACTATAAGACAAACAGCCATCACTCAGAACCATGGGAAAGCTGGCCCAGTGGAAGCTCTACAACTGGAAGGAAAGAAAGAAGAGCATTGAGACTGAGTAGGTTGTGCAGAGGCTCCAAGAACAGAGGTACAGAGTCACGCGCCAGGCGGGCTGCAACTGGATGCGCGGTTTTTTTCAATCGGAAGGGGCCGCAGACTCTGGAGCCCACTGAGCTTGTTTGGGGCAGGATCCTGAGGTCCCAGACCCCTACGGGGAGAGGCGGGATGGCCTTGCAATGGGCTGGAGAGTGAGAGTGGCCGTCTCGCGGAGCTGCTCGCTGGCACTCGGGGACACGAGATGCTGAGTCGCTGAGAGGCGAGGAGTCGCGGAGATGCCATTGCCCCTGGACCCGCCCTGGTGATTCCTGGGGACCCCGCCCTACTCAATTTACATCCCCACCCAAGGGAACCACCGGCGCTTTTGCAGCCCAGCCCAGCCCAGCAGAATGCAGATTTCAACTCCTTGCATACATAAGGGACACACTCAAGAAGCAGAATCAGGTTCAGAGGAAGCCGGAGCCAGACACGGCTGGGCCGGCAACATGGAACCGCTGCACCAGCAAACGCACAGGCAGGTCCACCAGAACCAGTCTCACATGGGACGCTGGGAGACGGCAGACAGGCAGTCTGTGCACTTGGTAGAAAACGAAATCCAAGCAAGCATACCAGATATTCAGCCACCAAGAACGCCTGGAGATTTTGCCGAGACGGCCCCCGTGAGGCAGGGACAGCCCCCGTGAGGCTGAGACGGCCCCGATGAGGTTGAATCAGCACCGGTGAGGTCAAGAAGGCACCGGTGAGGCCGAGAGGGCCCCTGTGAGGTCGAGACGGCCCCGGTGAGGCTGAGACAGCCCCAGCGAGACTGAGACGGCCCCGGTGAGGTTGAATCGACCCCGGTGAGGTTGAGAAGGCCCCACTGAGGTTGAAACGGCCCCAGCGAGGCTGAGACGGCCCCTGTGAAGTTGTAACGGCCCCAGTGAGGTTGATTCAGCCCTGGTGAGGTTGAGATGGCCCGTGAGACTGAGACGGCCCCTGGGAAGCTGAGAAAAATACCACATGAACTCACTCATTTATGGATAATAAGGAAAATTATAGACTGATGAACAAAAATGGATACAGAGGCAGAGCAGCATTGAGCAGACTGTCAAACTACTGTGGGAAGCCTGGGGAGGGTTGGGGGGGAGGGTAGGAGATCAACTGAAGGACTTGTATGCATGCATATAAGAATAACCAATGGACACAAGACACTGGGAGGTGGGGGAGGTCGGGAGAATGTCAAGGGGGGGGGGAGGAGACATGTGTAATACTCTTTGTAATATTTTAAGAAATAAAAAAAAAATCTTCAGTAGGATCCACAAAATGGACTATACCATATTCGATGACCCAACAATCCCATTCTTAGATATATACTCAGGACAAAGAGTGCAGGTGTCCACCATTAAACTTGTTTTGAATGTGCACAGAAGTGATATGAACAAAGAAATGTTCATAAGGTCAAATACTGGGAACTACCCAGAGGCTCATCAATAGCAGGATGGATCAGTAAGTCTTGGTATAGTCAAACAATGGAGTACGACAATAATGTAGACACATTTGTGCAATAATGTTAGACAAATAAGAGTTCATACTATATGATTCTAGTTATACAAAGTTCAAAAGTGGCCCAACCTAACCTCTGCTGTTATAAGTCAGGACAGTGGGTTACCTTTGGAGGGACAGTGACTTGAAGGAATCATAGCAGAGGTGGAGGAACTACAAGGTAACTGGTATTTCATGATCTAGGTGCTGGTTACATGGGTGTGTTGAATTTGCAAAAATGTGTCAAACTGTATGGGCACTTTTCTGTATGTAAATCTACTTCAGTAAAATATTGAGAAAAAATGCTGGCCACAAGCCACTAAATTGGATCTTCTGCTCCCTAATCACTTACAACCTGAAATCTGAAATAACCTACACTAGATACCAAGAACACCAAGGGAAGATATACTATGACATATGAAAATATCTTAATTTTATTTATACTAATAAAATAGAAACCTCAAAAGTCTTATTTATGAGCCATTAGACATCACCAAAATAAAAAGAATCCAGAAAAAAAATGAAACCGCTAAAAGTAAGACTATACTATCCTTTCTTACTTGATTTTTAATAACTTTACAGCTGCTTTCAATTCAAATTTTTATTAAATCTTTCATATTAATCTATACTTGCTGCCAATCACTTTAAGAAACACAGAGTTTTGAATATGCTTATCCAGCTTTTTCCATAGTGTTCAAGCCACCAGTCTGTTCTTATAGAAACAGCCAAGAGCAGCTCACTGTAAAGAAAATCTCCCCTAATGCTCCCCTTTATGGCTATGCCTTTCCCATTGGAATCTGTTCTTCCCCTTAGCGCGTCCATCTATGACAACATGCCCTCAGCACCTCCACCCCGCTCCAGCCCCTCTGGAGGTGAGAAGAGGTGCCACCCAACCATGGCTGATGGCAATCAATGTTTACACATTCGTAAGTGACTATGGTGGTCGGTATTTTAAAGAGATCCAGATGTGTTTCCATCCACAACCATTATCTTTCTCAAGCAAGGTGTAGATTACAAGCTGCACTGCATATGATTTGTGTTTTCCCACCAGCAGATTGCTACACACATTCATAGGGCAGATGTCTTCCAGGACGTTTCTTGGCTGACATCTTTATTCCGTGATTCCATGAGCGTTTTCCTCAAATTCTACACAGCGGTAAGTAAGGTCTCCAAATGAAAGCGGTCCAGTGATCCTGGGAGAGTGGTTTTCATTTAGCTGGCCTGTATGTGTCACTCCATCAGAGGCACAGATGCCATTGGTTGGCTTGGGTCCCCCCAACACCTCACTATGGAACCAATAACGGTCTTCAAGGCTTTACGACCTCTTCTGAAACCTAGATTGCATCAGTTTCCAAGAATGTCTGACTGTGTTTGGCTGTCCCAAATATCTGCCCCAGTCCCCCTTCCCCTTCACATCTGTCTAAACACAAGGGCAGGAGATACACTGTGCATGATGCGAAGTCAAGAGTCAGCCAACGCTCTTCAAACTCAAGTCCACAGTGACAATGACATGAAACAAACTCCACCTGCCCTCCACCGGAGCTGAATTTAAATTTTCTGTCTGCTAACAGTACATGTGAAAAATGAAATCTTTCCATATGGCTTTATTTTCTTCTATATAACAGGGTTGGGCTGAATTCTGCTTTATTTTTTTTTAAATAGAGCTCTATGTACATAGTGCTGACATATACACTAAAGTCATCTGGAAAAAATACAAGCTACTATAACAAATGCCAAATGACAAAAGTAGCCAGTCTCATTCTATTGAGACAAATAAATTGAAGGGGGAACCTGTTTAGTCGACAGAGTGAATAGAGAAAATTGATCTCCTATTGTCAAATATACTGTAACCGGATGGGAGGGTTGGGAAGTTCTGAAACACTGTATTTTGCACACAAGATAAAAGTAAAGTTTCAAATGGCCCCATTTCAAAAGCTTCTTACAGCCAAGAATGGAATTATTCACACCAGACTACGTGTTTACATTAGATATTCCTCTTTAATTCTCTAGAGAAAGAAACACCATTCTTTAGTGAAAAAGTATATTTTTGCACAAAATTTTAAATCTCAAATAGAAACAGCATATTCCATAAAAAGCACATTGAACACCTAATGTTCAAAACACCCTCTCCCCTTTTATAAGTGCATAGCTGTATCAGAGCCCAGATATTAAAGATTATATAGTGAACCTGTAATAGAACCACATTTCCCTTCAAAATACAATACAGCTGCAAACAAACAAAAAATGAACTATTTCCTCCAATCTTTTGCTAAATGGCCATGTCTTCACACCGATAAGAGTCTAGTTGAATCCAGACACCACCAGGAGAAGGGGCGGGGATACAATGCGGGATCAAACCCTTCTCTTCCATTTGCCATTGAGTAAATCCAACAAGAAAGAAAAAGAGATGCATTTCTGAGACCAAAGGTCATAGTTTAAAATATAAAGGTTTGTTACTTTTTTTATATGTCTCTTTTCTTCTTTTTGGCCAAGTAGCAGAACCTTATTTTTGTTATAACACAAGAAAGCATTTCACAAAAGGCCTAAATTACACATAACACACACACACACACACACACACACACACACACACACACACACACACGCACATCATGGGCTCGTTAACATAATCCCTGCAGTCTCAGCTCTTTCAAAATAGCAGACTAATTCCATTTCCTTCCATTCTCCCAGCCAATTCTGCCTCTCTCCATTGCCACCATTGCTCCTGCTTTGTTTTGTCTTTCCCTTCAGTAAACTCGACACTCTGGTAATTCAATCTCCCGTTCAATGTCATGGTTGAGTCCAATCGCTGTCACTCAAAATGTAACCTGCGGCTTGAACTATGGCATGGTTGAGTGATCAGGGCAAATATCCCCAAATCTGGAATTTCTGGGTTTTCAGCTACTGAGCTACTAAGTGGCTTTAGACAAGATCTTCCCTCCGCCTCATGAGAGCAGGTCACATCCTGTTTGTACCGACTGGGACTCCTCAGGGTGGGTCGCTGCCGGCGAGCAGAGTTCACCTGTGACTGGCTATCTGTGGGCTAGTGGAGAATTGGTTGTAATGGGGTTTAAGCAGCAAGTTGGTGACAGCAGAACTGACCTCACAAGATGGACACGGGAATTAACAAATAATGGAAAAGCTTAGCCAGATGTCACTTTCACACCAGGCAGAAGTCAGAGAAGACCAAACGAGGGCCCTGTGTAAAGATGTCTTAACTCAGATCGTATAAATAATCAGGTTTCCCAGAGAAAGCCATTTCCATTCCCACCACTAGCGCGACTTACACAAGTTTGAAGGCCAATAAAAACAGTGTTCGTTTACAAGGTTTGGGAGAAATGAAGGAAGATAGGGAATCTTCCCCAAGTTCAGAAGTTTAAAGAGAAAATTCTAAGGGTGGGGAGTGACACATTGTATTGTTACTGACTTCTTTTTATTTTATAACTCATGACATGAACCAGGACCAAGCATATTATACAACTGTTATTACACAAAGAGTAGAGACTAGTCTACAGACTATGACAGAACACCTAAAGAAATAGGGCTGATCATGAATTAGAAATTACAGACACATAAATGATTGCAGCCAACCAACCTGCTGGATTTGGCTGTGCTCTGTGAGAGGAGTGTGAAATGTACCCAGGTTGACACTGGTGTTGGAAAACCACCTGACAGGGCCCAGGGCTCAGACACCCTGCTCGGAGATCAGAGACCCTTGCCTAGCAAACTCACTCCTAAGCAGAACGGTTCCAGGCAGATAGCTCTTCACCGAGTCCCATCACAATGCAGGCCCTCCATAAATCCCTGTAGAATTGAACTGTTGAAATAAACCATATTCAGAAAGAAGAACTGGGGTTTTTCAAATCAGAACAGCTGCCTTTATGAGTTGTACTAGCCAGACAGTGAATGGTTTGGGAAGGAAGAGACACCAGAACTAAACAGTCTCTTTTGCAACTGATGGTAAAATTAGAGGGGACGTGAACAGCCAGAGAGCAGACAATCAAAATCAAATGGATGTGGACCACTTAAGTAATTGGGTCAAAAGGATGGCGAATGCAGTTCAATTTAGGATAATGTTCAATAAATTGCTTTAAGAAATGACCTAGGGAATACAGGTTAAATGGAACAACCATGTAGGAGATTGATCTGGAAGGCACAATAAAGAAAATCACTGGAACTAACCACCAGAGCATTACCAACATTAGTAAAAAGGCTGTAGGGACCCTGAGAGCAAAAATGCAAATAGACCCACTCAGACCCCAGAGCAGGTGTTCTCATCCAGGCACTTCTCTCTGCTCTTCCTATGCTCATGAAAAGTTACCCATTTTCCAAGAAGCTCTACAAACAATATATTTCAAGATAACTATGGGCTTCCCCTAATTTCTCTCCAGAGTTCCTTTTTTGCTTGGAAAAATTCACAATCATAGTCACAGATTAAATCAACGTGTAGCAAATGTTACTGCATTTGTTGAAGGACC